TTTTTGTATCTTGTATGCATTGTCTTAGATATCTTTCACCCAATCTCTCACCTCAACGAAGGAATGCCATCATAGAAGTAATAAATATTCAAATAAATGATTTTGATAGAGTTATCATGACAAACCTTTGCTTCGCTACTATATCCTTTCATGGACTTTATCTGAATCCACCCATTAAGTCCTATGAGGGGCAACAATGCCAATACAATCATAGTCAATTGCCAGTTTGCAGAAAAGGCAATAACCAGACCAGCAACTAAAGTAGTTGCATTCTCAACAGCCAAAGCAAGAGTATCGCCAACGAGACCCCTGACCATCGCTGCATCTGCTGATAATCTAGCTCCGATAGCTCCACTCGAGTTCTCAGGCTCATCAAACCATCCAACATCCATGTGCACAATTTTCTCGAAAGTCATAAGCCGTATCCTTCTTATCAATCTTGATCCTGCTAAACCGAAGAAATATGTTCTAGCTGGAAACCCAATGAACGAAACGAAACCAAGTACCAAAAACAGTTTCGACCAAAACTTAGAATCCTTCATCATCTCTGGGGGTGGCTGGTAAAATGTAGTTATTGCATTTGATAGGAGAATTCCAAATATGGGGAAGATGGTTCCATTAACAATGGCAGAGATTGAACCAATTGTAAGCACGGGGATCTCAGGTTTGTTAAGATAGGCAAGGTGTCGGAGGGAAATTTCCTTTGCTTTTTTTGCAGGGTCTTCGTTGCTTCTGCCCTCTGATTTGCTGATATCTTGGACATCATAACCTACGGGTAATCCAATTGGTATTGAGAAAGAGTGATGACTGCTGTGGCCTATAGATGATAATTCATGGGAGATGGAATGATTCAAAGACATATGTTGACTAGAGTGCCTCCCTCCGTCGGATGAAAGACTAGTGTGGGCATTTTTGAGATAATAACTTTCAAATTGTCACAAGTTCCCTTTAAACTCTGTCAGAAGTTCCCCTTTAACTACACTTTGTATATGAGAAGAATCAAGAATGTGATCTTGGTCACATGTCTATTGCTTTGGCATGAAGTACCACCATTATTTGCTCACAAAATCTCATGGTAAAAGATTTTGTTGTTTTCAGGTAACCTCACCTTCTCATGATTCTATTTGCAATCAAAGTGTGAACTAAATAAGGCTCTTAAGAAAGTCTTTTCATGCTTCCTCTCAATAAACAACATTTTATATTTTGCTGAAAACTTGTCTGGAATACTTTTCGGGTGTTCTATCTAGCAGTATTACATCTCTAGTTTTTGTATCTTGTATGCATTGTCTTAGATATCTTTCACCCAATCTCTCACCTCAACGAAGGAATGCCATCATAGAAGTAATAAATATTCAAATAAATGATTTTGATAGAGTTATCATGACAAACCTTTGCTTCGCTACTATATCCTTTCATGGACTTTATCTGAATCCACCCATTAAGTCCTATGAGGGGCAACAATGCCAATACAATCATAGTCAATTGCCAGTTTGCAGAAAAGGCAATAACCAGACCAGCAACTAAAGTAGTTGCATTCTCAACAGCCAAAGCAAGAGTATCGCCAACGAGACCCCTGACCATCGCTGCATCTGCTGATAATCTAGCTCCGATAGCTCCACTCGAGTTCTCAGGCTCATCAAACCATCCAACATCCATGTGCACAATTTTCTCGAAAGTCATAAGCCGTATCCTTCTTATCAATCTTGATCCTGCTAAACCGAAGAAATATGTTCTAGCTGGAAACCCAATGAACGAAACGAAACCAAGTACCAAAAACAGTTTCGACCAAAACTTAGAATCCTTCATCATCTCTGGGGGTGGCTGGTAAAATGTAGTTATTGCATTTGATAGGAGAATTCCAAATATGGGGAAGATGGTTCCATTAACAATGGCAGAGATTGAACCAATTGTAAGCACGGGGATCTCAGGTTTGTTAAGATAGGCAAGGTGTCGGAGGGAAATTTCCTTTGCTTTTTTTGCAGGGTCTTCGTTGCTTCTGCCCTCTGATTTGCTGATATCTTGGACATCATAACCTACGGGTAATCCAATTGGTATTGAGAAAGAGTGATGACTGCTGTGGCCTATAGATGATAATTCATGGGAGATGGAATGATTCAAAGACATATGTTGACTAGAGTGCCTCCCTCCGTCGGATGAAAGACTAGTGTGGGCATTTTTGAGATAATAACTTTCAAATTGTCACAAGTTCCCTTTAAACTCTGTCAGAAGTTCCCCTTTAACTACACTTTGTATATGAGAAGAATCAAGAATGTGATCTTGGTCACATGTCTATTGCTTTGGCATGAAGTACCACCATTATTTGCTCACAAAATCTCATGGTAAAAGATTTTGTTGTTTTCAGGTAACCTCACCTTCTCATGATTCTATTTGCAATCAAAGTGTGAACTAAATAAGGCTCTTAAGAAAGTCTTTTCATGCTTCCTCTCAATAAACAACATTTTATATTTTGCTGAAAACTTGTCTGGAATACTTTTCGGGTGTTCTATCTAGCAGTATTACATCTCTAGTTTTTGTATCTTGTATGCATTGTCTTAGATATCTTTCACCCAATCTCTCACCTCAACGAAGGAATGCCATCATAGAAGTAATAAATATTCAAATAAATGATTTTGATAGAGTTATCATGACAAACCTTTGCTTCGCTACTATATCCTTTCATGGACTTTATCTGAATCCACCCATTAAGTCCTATGAGGGGCAACAATGCCAATACAATCATAGTCAATTGCCAGTTTGCAGAAAAGGCAATAACCAGACCAGCAACTAAAGTAGTTGCATTCTCAACAGCCAAAGCAAGAGTATCGCCAACGAGACCCCTGACCATCGCTGCATCTGCTGATAATCTAGCTCCGATAGCTCCACTCGAGTTCTCAGGCTCATCAAACCATCCAACATCCATGTGCACAATTTTCTCGAAAGTCATAAGCCGTATCCTTCTTATCAATCTTGATCCTGCTAAACCGAAGAAATATGTTCTAGCTGGAAACCCAATGAACGAAACGAAACCAAGTACCAAAAACAGTTTCGACCAAAACTTAGAATCCTTCATCATCTCTGGGGGTGGCTGGTAAAATGTAGTTATTGCATTTGATAGGAGAATTCCAAATATGGGGAAGATGGTTCCATTAACAATGGCAGAGATTGAACCAATTGTAAGCACGGGGATCTCAGGTTTGTTAAGATAGGCAAGGTGTCGGAGGGAAATTTCCTTTGCTTTTTTTGCAGGGTCTTCGTTGCTTCTGCCCTCTGATTTGCTGATATCTTGGACATCATAACCTACGGGTAATCCAATTGGTATTGAGAAAGAGTGATGACTGCTGTGGCCTATAGATGATAATTCATGGGAGATGGAATGATTCAAAGACATATGTTGACTAGAGTGCCTCCCTCCGTCGGATGAAAGACTAGTGTGGGCATTTTTGAGATAATAACTTTCAAATTGTCACAAGTTCCCTTTAAACTCTGTCAGAAGTTCCCCTTTAACTACACTTTGTATATGAGAAGAATCAAGAATGTGATCTTGGTCACATGTCTATTGCTTTGGCATGAAGTACCACCATTATTTGCTCACAAAATCTCATGGTAAAAGATTTTGTTGTTTTCAGGTAACCTCACCTTCTCATGATTCTATTTGCAATCAAAGTGTGAACTAAATAAGGCTCTTAAGAAAGTCTTTTCATGCTTCCTCTCAATAAACAACATTTTATATTTTGCTGAAAACTTGTCTGGAATACTTTTCGGGTGTTCTATCTAGCAGTATTACATCTCTAGTTTTTGTATCTTGTATGCATTGTCTTAGATATCTTTCACCCAATCTCTCACCTCAACGAAGGAATGCCATCATAGAAGTAATAAATATTCAAATAAATGATTTTGATAGAGTTATCATGACAAACCTTTGCTTCGCTACTATATCCTTTCATGGACTTTATCTGAATCCACCCATTAAGTCCTATGAGGGGCAACAATGCCAATACAATCATAGTCAATTGCCAGTTTGCAGAAAAGGCAATAACCAGACCAGCAACTAAAGTAGTTGCATTCTCAACAGCCAAAGCAAGAGTATCGCCAACGAGACCCCTGACCATCGCTGCATCTGCTGATAATCTAGCTCCGATAGCTCCACTCGAGTTCTCAGGCTCATCAAACCATCCAACATCCATGTGCACAATTTTCTCGAAAGTCATAAGCCGTATCCTTCTTATCAATCTTGATCCTGCTAAACCGAAGAAATATGTTCTAGCTGGAAACCCAATGAACGAAACGAAACCAAGTACCAAAAACAGTTTCGACCAAAACTTAGAATCCTTCATCATCTCTGGGGGTGGCTGGTAAAATGTAGTTATTGCATTTGATAGGAGAATTCCAAATATGGGGAAGATGGTTCCATTAACAATGGCAGAGATTGAACCAATTGTAAGCACGGGGATCTCAGGTTTGTTAAGATAGGCAAGGTGTCGGAGGGAAATTTCCTTTGCTTTTTTTGCAGGGTCTTCGTTGCTTCTGCCCTCTGATTTGCTGATATCTTGGACATCATAACCTACGGGTAATCCAATTGGTATTGAGAAAGAGTGATGACTGCTGTGGCCTATAGATGATAATTCATGGGAGATGGAATGATTCAAAGACATATGTTGACTAGAGTGCCTCCCTCCGTCGGATGAAAGACTAGTGTGGGCATTTTTGAGATAATAACTTTCAAATTGTCACAAGTTCCCTTTAAACTCTGTCAGAAGTTCCCCTTTAACTACACTTTGTATATGAGAAGAATCAAGAATGTGATCTTGGTCACATGTCTATTGCTTTGGCATGAAGTACCACCATTATTTGCTCACAAAATCTCATGGTAAAAGATTTTGTTGTTTTCAGGTAACCTCACCTTCTCATGATTCTATTTGCAATCAAAGTGTGAACTAAATAAGGCTCTTAAGAAAGTCTTTTCATGCTTCCTCTCAATAAACAACATTTTATATTTTGCTGAAAACTTGTCTGGAATACTTTTCGGGTGTTCTATCTAGCAGTATTACATCTCTAGTTTTTGTATCTTGTATGCATTGTCTTAGATATCTTTCACCCAATCTCTCACCTCAACGAAGGAATGCCATCATAGAAGTAATAAATATTCAAATAAATGATTTTGATAGAGTTATCATGACAAACCTTTGCTTCGCTACTATATCCTTTCATGGACTTTATCTGAATCCACCCATTAAGTCCTATGAGGGGCAACAATGCCAATACAATCATAGTCAATTGCCAGTTTGCAGAAAAGGCAATAACCAGACCAGCAACTAAAGTAGTTGCATTCTCAACAGCCAAAGCAAGAGTATCGCCAACGAGACCCCTGACCATCGCTGCATCTGCTGATAATCTAGCTCCGATAGCTCCACTCGAGTTCTCAGGCTCATCAAACCATCCAACATCCATGTGCACAATTTTCTCGAAAGTCATAAGCCGTATCCTTCTTATCAATCTTGATCCTGCTAAACCGAAGAAATATGTTCTAGCTGGAAACCCAATGAACGAAACGAAACCAAGTACTAAAAACAGTTTCGACCAAAACTTAGAATCCTTCATCATCTTTGGGGGTGGCTGGTAAAATGTAGTTATTGCATTTGATAGGAGAATTCCAAATATGGGGAAGATGGTTCCATTAACAATGGCAGAGATTGAACCAATTGTAAGCACGGGGATCTCAGGTTTGTTAAGATAGGCAAGGTGTCGGAGGGAAATTTCCTTTGCTTTTTTTGCAGGGTCTTCGTTGCTTCTGCCCTCTGATTTGCTGATATCTTGGACATCATAACCTACGGGTAATCCAATTGGTATTGAGAAAGAGTGATGACTGCTGTGGCCTATAGATGATAATTCATGGGAGATGACCCTGCTAATGGTGTGTTAGATGAATTGGTAAGAAGGCAAAAATACTCTTTTATAATGAACACTATCATAAATTAAATTAAATTGATAATTAATTCGTCTCAAATTTTGACTAAACTTAGTGGCAGCTTGTGAAAACTACCAAGATTTTCTTTTTACTTAGGTGCATTTTTGTCATTTCGACGTATGTGAATTTCAGGTGCACGGACAGGGACTAAGGGGGATTATCTAGCAAAACTTGGTGTGTGTTTGTATTTGGTCAACAATTGAACCTTTATGTATGACCGCAATTGTATCAGCGTTCCTTATTGTGCTAAGACGATGAGCAACAATAACAGTAGTTCGGTTTGCCATTACTCTATCAAGTGCTTCCTGCACTATCCTTTCGGATTCTGCATCCAAAGCACTAGTGGCTTCATCAAGAAGTAGAATCCGAGGGTCCTTCAGAATGGTTCTTGCAATCGCAACCCTTTGTTTCTGACCGCCTGATAATTGAGTTCCATGCTCGCCGACCATGGTGTCAAGTCCCTAAACACCAATTCCTATCTGTCAAAATATCAGTTACTAAACATTTTTATTGAAGAATGATATAGGTATTTGACCTGAGGCATTTTGTCTATGAAATTGGCAGCATTAGCAAGCTCAGCTGCAGCTTTGATCTCTTCATTTGTTGCGCCATCCTTTCCATAAGATATATTGTCTTTAATGCTCGAAGCAAACAGTACAGGCTCTTGACTCACTAGTCCTATTTTACCTCTGATCCATTTCAAACGGAACTCCCTTGATGTTTATACCATCAAAAGAACTTCACCTGCCTGGGATCATAAAACTTTCCATCGACTTATTTACTGTAGAATTCCACTTCCTGCTCTCTCCGACGAAAGCCACAGCCGCTACCACTTTGTATAAATAGAGAGAATCGAGAAAATTCGTTATCTTGATATATGTTGGATTAGCTGAAGTAATCAGTCTTGATTCTAGTATCTCCTCGAAAGCCATCGGTTTCTTCTTTTGGGTCCAGAACGCATTCGCATCTCTGGCTTTCTGTTGATTGTTCTGCGACATTTTTCCTGCAGCTCGCCATGGCGCGAATGCTGTTATAATGGGAAGCCTGGGCCTAAAGAGCTGAAAATATGGCCAGCATAACTTGAAAGAAATGAGGCATGTTTTGTGGAATATTGACAGGGTTCTGGCAATATATAGATGGACAGAGAGCAGCAAAAAAAAAACAAAAAACCTTGGCAAAAGAGGCATAAAAGCTACGCGTATTGTCTAAAACAATGCAACAATAGACAATCTCATGTTGATGGAGAAGAGGTTTAACAATGGAAACTACCAGTCATGTGATGGATTAGACGCTCACAAGGATTCAATGAGGACCCGCAAATATCTACACTAATTACGTCGCGCCTGTGTAGCCTCTGTCCAATATCAACTTGAGCCATACCTAATCCAAAATGTACACACACGCCCAAAACACTGTGGCATTACAGTATCAGCGCTAGACCTGAAGTGCAAGACGCCTCTTGAACGCTAGCTCAACACGCCTCTTTAGCAGTTTCCATTATTTTTTACAGATTGTTTCTCCGCCAGTAAAAAATGTGACCTGAGAGCAAAAGGCACCAGTTAAACATCAATAATGTTTGCTTGGACTAAATACATAATATCATATTCTACTATATTCATCTATACACACTTACACTACCTGCAATAAGTCTCGCCTATATCTGATGCAGCCAATATGTTTTCTAATACTCCCACTTTAAATTTTAGTCTCCAACGTTTAGGCAAACATGGACTCTGATAACATCACTTGCATATTGCCAAAAATCTTTGCACATTTGCATAAATCTAACCTCTTATACACAGACTGAGACAACCACCAAGTCAACCGAAACCACATAGGGTCTATATCCATATTTCTAAACATCGTGCATTATGCAAAAAAACCTACCTCTAACACAGACTGGAAAACCAACACCACGACACAACCACGATAAGTCGTCTACACCTACTTTGCTAAAACACCGCAGACATAGCGACCTAGATTGTGTTTACAAGCAAAAAGAATGCTAGGCCCAGACACCCCTAATGAGCAGCCATTGTAGAAGCCCTATGCCACTCGTCTAAACAACCGGATTTCAGCAAAAATGAAGCATGAATTGCACTTTCCAAATGAGGCCATAGTCCAGACACCATCATTTTGTTTTTCAAACCTTTCTTGAAGTTGTTCACTAATTCTCACTGTTGTAAAAATTAACCAAGAACTGTTTACCCGCTATATAATGAAGAATCCTCCTACAAGTGGCATGGACCTGGTCTTGCTAATCTCACAGTAGCGCACAATAGCATGATGGAGGATGAAATCATCTCCATGCATTGCAAGCACACAGCCCTGAACATGACACCTAGTTCCAAAGAGCATCAACTATCTCAACTATCGAGATTAACAAAACACGAACAAAATGTCTCCAAGAATGTTGCTCTTGCATCTACGAAACCATGCCAGTGTTGCAACTAGTTTTGAATATATACTTGATCTCAAATTTCCAAAAGTCCTTTCTGCAGAGTTCTAATATGCAAGCTCATCTTAATCTTAATGTTTCTCAATATTATCCTGTTTTTCTCTTAAGAAATGGTATATCAACACTCGAGAACATGCCACCTCATGCAAAAGATAACATTCTCATTAATAGACCCCCTTGAAAACTACTCATCTCATAATTAACTATCAATTCTAATTAGTTAGGAAGAATCTTGCAGAGAATCATTATAAAGAATTGGGTATGCTTATGATGGAGTGACATGTTTACCCCACCTACTTTGGGATAAGAACTATTTCAGAATTAATGTACGCCAGCAAACCAAATATTACTAGGAATTCTCATATTTGCAGTCTGTCCTGTCATAGGACAAACATCTGATACGGTATTATTGCCAAAGAGTATGGTGGTGTATTTCACCTCTTCCTCAAGGAATAGGACTCTTGTGACTTTCAAACAAAATTTTGGAACACAGTAGGTCACACTCCAACTAAATAAATATATTCATATATAAATAGGCCCTTGTGAAAAGGGAAAAAAAAGTGACAATGGATTTTTCCTCAAATAAGTATTTACTTTTTAGAATCTTTGCGTATATATTACCCCTCAAATAATTTGTAGTTGCAAATTTAAATCCACCCCCCCCCCGCCCCCCCCCCAAAAAAAAAAAAAAAAAAAAACCCACACACACACACAAGACCCAACACGAAATCCTGCACATTGGAAATTTCTGTCTCTTGAGCTAATGGTGTTTGTTTTCAAACGGAATGTTGGATTTACAGTTATCCCCCAATTAATCACCCTTTGAAGATCAGCCCCCCATAGGATTCTCATTCCCCATCTTCTCTCTCCAGTGTCCCAGAATTTCAAAGTCTGATGCCCAGTGGAGAAGCTGGCAAAGTTCAAGTGTTGGGGATATTGAATCTTATCATGCTCCAGAGTCTAATGTGATTTGAAGATTGGGGGGAATGATTTCCCCCAATGGTAATGATGAAGAAGAGATTTAGCAAAAAGTTTACAAAATGGCAAAAGAAGATGTTTGGGTTTGTTAAGACAGCTGGGTGGAGGCTTCAGAAAGAGGATGAGGAAGTCCAAAGATTTTGACAAGAGATCGTGGTTCACAATGAGCATAATTACTTGGCAAAGCTAACAAGTTAACACCAGTACAACTTTAGTACAACTCCAGTGATCATATTGTTGATTGATTGGTCTCTAATATTGAATTGATGATGGATTTGATGAAAGTTTGATCTGAGTTAATCGAGGATTAAGTTAAAGACAGACATGGTACTTTTTCCCACTTTCACAACAAAAAACATTAGCTTATGGCAAACCCATGGGAGTAGAAACACTCACATCTAGCAGGTGAGAAAGAGAAGTCCATGATCATCCTACAAAAGTAGAAGGAAGAACAAGAAATTAGAGAGAATAAGAAGTGAGGGATAACAAGGCATACCATTGGTTTTGACTTTTGAGGATGGAGAAAGCCATGTTGGTTTGTTAGAAATATATTAGGATTAATGAACTAAGAGACCCTATTAGTCACCATCAAGGTTTTAAATATCGGATGTCGGGTTCATGTCGGACGACTGAAATCCATGTCGGATAGCGGAAATCGGGGATATATCGGGGGACATGTACTAAATATCGGATTGCCATATCGGGTGATACGCATATGTATAATATCATTTCACACAAAAATCTGGGTATAGAATTTTGTTCATAATTTTACAGTTTAATCATACGCATATAGATTATTTTTTGTGATGAAATATAAAGACTATTTTGATCGGAAAAGGACTGACATGCTGATTTGAATGGAAAACTTTTTGATAGTCACAGTCAGGAAAAAAACAGTAAAAAACAGTCATACCTGACGGATGAAGAACTGAGGAAAGCTGGAGCTTCGGCTTCCGAAGGCGAAGGGGGAGAGAGAGGAGAAGGCGGCGCCGGAAAGGATCGATTCCGATGTCCAGGGAGGAAGCGTCGGCGATGGCAAGGAAGCAAGAGAGTGAGAGACGAAGAAGAGGAAGCCGGTGGGTTCCCAGCGCATTTGCCTAGTTTTTTTATGTTCGGGTTGGTTTCTCTTCAATCGGGTGACCCTTAACATTAGAACGGGTCAATTGGTTGGGTTTTCATCACTAAACCCAAACCCAATAAGCAAAAATAGCTCTAAACCGATAACATGGCATATCGGCCGATTTTTCAAAGTTGAAATCGGGCGATATGCTCGATATATCGTCGACATATCCGACATTCTTCTAAAAACCGACATTCGACTTAAAACCCGACTCGTGTCGTTGGCACCTTCAATCCGATATGTCCGACCTATGAAGCACGGACACGCATAACATGAAGCCGTGTCGTGTCTGTCCGTGTCGGACACACGTGTCGAACACACGTATCCTATGTATTTTTTTAGGATTTGCCTCGTGTCGGCTGTGTCGGATGCCGTGTCGGATCCGTGTCCGTGCTACATAGTGTCCGACATGTCGGTCACATTTAAAACACTGGTCACCATCAATTATCTTTTACTAATTTAGAAAAAATTTAGGGAATATACCAGGCATATTCCCTAAAAGAGTAGGTGGAGGGAATGAGAATAGAAAATATGAGAGAATTGAGGGGTAATTTGCAAATAACAATATTTTGGGTTTAACTTCGCAGATATGGATGATTTGAGGGATATATGAGAAAATCCTTATTTTTTATAAAAAATTTTGGATGAAAGTTACTATGTTCTTTAATTGCTAATTTAATCTATGTTACATGAGTGTGGGTACGGGCACGAGTACGAGTACATGATACAACAATTTGTAAAGGTAGGATAAGGGGACACCAATATACAAATTTTGTATACACATATATTGTAAATTGGAATTAATAATTTTATGAGAACAAGGATGAGAGTTAAAATTCCTATAATATTTTTACAGTCTTTTTATATGAATTATAATTTGGAAAATCACTAATTTTTGAAGTAGACATCCAAACGACCCTTCGAAATCATAATTCGGAACCTGACCAGTGTCAACGGACAACGAGTTTCAAGAAGTGGATGTGAAGTTCAGAGTATGTGTAGAAAATGTATGACTAGTGTTTTAAATCAAAAAATGTACATGTACGTGTCATGTCAGGTACAGCGCAGATTAGAAGTACCGGTAACACAGATTCTAGTGAAAGAGAGTAATGTGCACCCCTAATGTTAAAATTGAAAGACCAATCTTTGTTTCCATACTCTACCAGATGTTGACAATCGTGAGCTCCCCCCCAAGCACAAGGAATCGCTCAAGCCTTCTAATTGCAAGATCCTTATCTCATTTACTACTTACAGTCCTCAATAAGCTCCTCATATGAGGATGTTATCAAAAAGCTTCTCTTGATTTATCTCTTAATCTTTCATACCAAACGTCAATCTCCTCTATTAACTTAGCCACAAAAAAATTCATCTTTGCTTCCTCGTACTGATGAACTAATGTTCATACTTAATTCTAGGTGATCATAATGGGTGATGAGAGAGCCAATCAAAAGTTTCGCAACTTATGCTCTTGAAAGGATCAGAATCTTTAGGATAATGTTGTATGTTGGATTGTGGAGATAAGTCATAAAACTTATCTAATAAAGGATAGGCCAATGTTTGTATTTTAAACTCCCAATAGAGCAAGGGTTGAAATTTACCAAGTAGTTCATATCCTAGTGAGAATTATCATTTTGGTACAGTGAATTTAAAGCACACTCTACACACATTAGAATGAAAGTTATATGAAAATACCCTGAAATGCACGGTTGCGAGTACGAGTACGATTTTGGACAAGATACAAATTTTTAGGCAAAATAGCCAAATTGGTATATTTGTTGACCCTCCGGTGACAGATTGCGTATATATTTTTTATTTTACAAATTGTATATTATCTGGACTCCGCGTCAAATTGGTATATTATCTTAGACTCTGGCGCTAAATACCCCTTAGTTTGGCCAGATCCAAATTTTCTGGCCAGTTTTCTCACGTGACGTGCTTTACGTATGCCCAGCTAGCGGGATTTATTGCACAAAACCCCTCATGTTGCCAACTATTCTTTAAAAAACCTCCCTCCTCCTCCCCCTCTCCCATCACCCACGCCCACTAGTCAGCAAACCCTAACCCTCACTCCTCCTCTTCCCCCTCTCCCTCCTCCTCCTCATGTACATTTTTAGAAGCAGCAACAGCAACAAATTAAAACAATAGTTTCTCATTTCAAAGTTGCGTATTTTGTATTGCCACTCTGTATTTAATTCTTCATTGTCGGGATTCTGCCCGTCTTAGAGAGAGACGAGGGGGGCTCTGAAGAGAGGGATAAAATGGATTAAGGGGATTAAGACTGAGTTATCCTCCCAAATTCACTTTAATTTTCTGTTATTCCCTTTCTGGGTATCTTTTCATTTTTGATTTCTCGAACTGTTTTTTTTGTGTATAAAAATCGCTGTAAAAATCCACTTTTTGTACTAGCCTGATCAAATTTGTAGCTTGTACTAGCATTAAAACTCTACCTGCCACAGAGATTTCATGATGTAAATTTTAAAATATAAAGCTCTTAGCAATGAGAAAACAGGATGTGGCCAGTCACGGCCCGCACAGTGGTAAAGGTATTTTATGATAGGAGTATTGCATGGTTTGCCAGAGAGAAAGATCTCTTAGGATGTGTTCTTTAGGGCTTTGGAAGTATCTCAGGTTGAATTCCTTCCCTTCAAATTTCTCCACAGGAACACATTTTCCCTGTATCACTTATCATGATTGTATTTGTAATCAACATTGACATTTTTATAGTTTATCATCCTTAGCAGTGTCCAGCCGTAGTTCTAGTGTTGTTCTAAGTAGTAAATACATGAGGAGGAGGGGGAGGGGGAGGAGTGGGGGTTGAGGGTTTGCTGAGCTGGCGAGCGTGGGTGATGGGGAGAGGTTGAAGAGGTTGAGGAGGAGGGAGAGGAGGAATAGGAGGGTTTTTTTAAGAATAGTCGCAAGATTAGGGGGTTTTGTGCAATAAATCCCGCCAGCTGGGGATCACGTGAGCCGTCACGTGAGAAAACTGGTTGGAAAATTTAGATCCGACCAAACTTAAGGGGTATTTGGCGCCGGAGTCTAGATAATATACCAATTTGGCGTCGGAGTTCAGATAAAATACCAATTTGTCAAAATCAAAAAAATATATACCAATCTGTCACCGAGGGTCAACAAAATATACCAATTTGGCTATTTTGCCCAAAAAATTATAAAAGATAAAGTATAGGGACACGGCTAAATCTCATGGGATATAATCATTATTTCGAGGTATATATGTAAACAATCGTTTTAAATCATAGTTCTTCAAGCTTAAATGTATTTGGCCCTTATCAAGGTTGTGGAAAGTAGATAGCATCGCATAGTGGTGACTGGTGAGACACTGCTAAGACTATTTGGGGTTACGACGGCAAAAAAGCGACAAACAATGCGAAGTCAAAAAGTAGTTCAGTTTAAATATGTAACAATATTTTAAAAAAAATTCAAGAAACATCTCAAATTCTACAAATGGATATTTGCTTATTTATAGAGAACCTAAACATGAAATAGACGTATAATAATTAGTTAATCACATATATTAACAAAGTGTTGTGGTAGAGGCCATGGTAGGAGAGCTCAGGTGGTGGAGCTTAAAGACTCTAAGGCAAAGAAGAGGAGCATGGAGATGCTGAGGAAGCGGCAGTAGAGGAGCTGTGAACTAAGGAGGTAGTGGGGGGAGGCGATAGAGGAGCTTCCAGATGAGGAGGTGGCGGAGGCAGTGATAGAGGCTCGAAGATGAGAGGTGACAATGAAAGGCTTGGAGATAGTGGTGGAGGAAGTGAAAAAGGCGGTGAATGGCAATTTTTTTTGTTCTCTCTGTGTTTTGATTCGAATCGAAGAGAAAGAAAAAAGCAGGGAAAGTTAAGTAAAGGATAAGGTCCAGGTCATGTTTGGCTTGAGCTCGAGTACAAAAAAAGGAACCAAATAATAATTAAAAAGCAGTCAAAAACGGTTAAAAACGCTACTTGCCACTAAATTGTGCTCTTTGCCTCTACTGCAAGTAAATAAAAAACTCCGCCAAACTCAGCCACTATTGCCAATATTGTAGCGGGGTAGGTTATAGTGGCACTGTCTACCGCTATTTTCAACGGTGACCCTTATCCAACAAGTTACAAAGATGGATGTGAGGTGTAGGGTATATATCTAAGGAGTGTATGACGAATGTTTTAAATTAAACATGCATTGCATAATTGAGTACGGGTATGAATAAATATCATGCATAGATTTAAGAAGTGTCCAAGAAGTGTCGGGTATGACATCATACTAGAATTACCCAAGTAACATAGGAAGTACTCAATTCTTCATGAAGAAAAACAGACTAATGACCAATAAATATAATACAGAAGAGTAAATCCTACTTACAGTATTGTTAAATTTAGATATGTGGAGGTGTAATCCAGATGGGTGGAGGCCATGTCAATCTCAATTCCGGAGGATAGCAATTCTTAAAACTTTGACTGCTCAAGTCGAATATTCCGATATCACGTTCAAATCCTTTTTCTGCTGTAAGAATGTCCCAAAAGTCATCCGTAAAATAGACACGGTTCTCTTCTAGCCCGGACATCCCTTTTGCTGAAAGGGACACAGAGCACCAGGAACCTATGAATAGGGAGCGATCACCCAAGCTCCTTACTGGAATCCATGTACCCGTTTCAGGGTCCAGACTACTAATCTCAAATAAGTTAGTTTGATCCGTAGACTTTTCCTCCACGAAAACACTTTTCCTAAAGACATGCAAAAGAACCCCAGATGAGTCCACCAGATACCTGGTTGCGGAATAACCGCCGCGGCTCTTGGCGAACAAGGACTTCCTCAGAGGAGAAAACGGACAGTGGAGGTCGAACGCATAGATTTTACCGAAGATAGTGAGCGCAAGGAATTTACCATCGCGATATATGACATCAGCCATGGGACGCCGCGTATCTGCATACAAGAGATTCCATTTTTCCTCGCCCGATCTGGCAAACATGAGGTCACCGCGCCGTCCGATGGCCACGGCTGCAAAATCGCCATGGGTTGGGTTTGAGGACAGCACAAGCTTTCTTATTCCGACGGCTAATCCACCCTGTATCTTTGTGTAGCACTGATCACCATCGTCATGACTTATTCGAGAGCCCTCAGAATCGTCAACAGGATCAGCATAAGGATAGGGCCTGATGGAAGGGAGCTCGATTCGAGATCTATTGAACGGATTGAGGAGGCCAGGGTTTCCGAGCTCATCTATGACGGTAACCCATCCGAACTGAGATCCGACTATCCACTTGCCGCGTATCTCTGGTAAAGGATGAATCTTTATGAAAGAATTATCCTGGAAATCGAAAAGCGTACAGAAATCACTCTGCTCGCAGTCGCCGGCACCGTCACCGGAGAACAAGAGATAAGGCTGACTCCTGCGCAGGGGACGGGGCATGCAGTTCTCCGGCGACGCGATCGACGCCCACGAAGTGCAGACGGCGGAGAAACTGCAGTAGTCAACGGCGGAGAGGCGTTTGGCTATGAGGGTGAGTACCTCGCCCAACAGATTCGCCCAATCTGGATGCGAGGAGGGGACGGTCCCCGACGCCATGGCAGAGGTGGCTAGGGTTTCAATGGAAGAGGATGATGATGAGGCTCTCGAGCCCCTGTAGATCCGAGAATCCAACATTTAGTGTTATTATAAGAGTGACATTACAGACACACTCTCCACCGTACCCCCTCTCCTGCTACAGTATAGAGGGTCCACCTGCGATTTTTTTAAAAAAATCTCAGGTGGACCCTCTGCAGTGTAGCAGGAGAGGGGATATGGTGAAGAGTGTGATGGAGAGTGTGCATATAGTGTTATTTTTATTATAACCCCCGTCAGCAAAAACTAGGCCCCGTATCGAGGGGGCACTTTGGTCTTTTAGAAAAAAGAGGTTTATATCCCCAACTGGGCCCCACATCGAGGGTCACTTTGGTCTTTTAGGAAAAAAGAAGTTTATACCCCCACACATCAAGATCCCTTTTAAGTGCTTTATTCTGTTCTTTTCTTTTCAGAAAACGCTTCCGCCTAAATAATCCTAGGCGAAGTGCATACTCAAAAAAAATCATATGCATTCAACTTTTAGTTTCCTTAATATTTATTTACATATTTTTTTCCCCTTCTCGTCAATTCTATTTTAAATTTTAATTCTAAGCTGGGTGTTTGGGATGCACTAGACATACTTGACCACGTCATGAGAGTTCCCAAAAAAATCTTTTGAATATAAGATCTGCTTATAATTGGTCATACGTATAAATTATACAAATAGTATATGTATAGAAATATATATATAGATATATACTATTTGTATAACTTATACGTATATAAGAACTTTAAAAAGGCTATGAATACCAAAAACAAAGAAGATATAAATATTGACTTCAAAAATTCCATGCATGTAAGCTTTCTTAAACTATAAAAGTTGATAATACAAACAAAAAAAAGCCATGTTTGCATACCTGATGGTAAAAGAGTATCGAAGGGGGAGAGAGAAAAATTAAAGAGCCAAAAAAGTTATTGATCTCTGAATTGATGTATGTACACAGATGAAGACATGCTTATATATATATTTATGCACGTGCAATGCACGTGATTAAATATCAAAAAATGTTTTTTGTATGTTTATTTCATTACTTTAAATAAGTGAGATTTATCTTGAGTTCAAATATGTATACTTGAATTATAAGATTTATTAGTATTTTATTTAAATATTAATAAAAATAAATGTAATGGATTTTAAGCTAAACTTGGATGAATATATGTAACTGGGATATTGTAATTGTTATTATGAATTGTAGTTATAGTAATGAAGAAAATATTTCAAAAATTTAAGTTTATTCAAATATTTTTTAATCAAAAAGCTAAGATAATTGTTTGATTTACTGCAAACTTGTAAATTCTTTTTCTTCTAAGAATTTTAAATTGATCACCACCAACACCTAATAGGTCTCTTATTCAACATGGTAATATTCTCAACAAGTAACAATTAGTAAGCCAATGATTTTTTTGAAAACATTGAATATTGAAGTTTGTGACAACCCCAAGCAAAATCATCACAACAGTAATTCTTTGCCAATTGGTTAAAGAGGCCACCTTTATATCATAAATGTTAGATCACATGTTGTGCTAGTTATCAGGAAGAGTACTTTACGTCTAGCTGACAATATATCCTTTCACAGGATCAATAAAAGCAGTTTTTTATCGATTGCCTCTAACGAAATGCAGGATCATATCTATAGACAATAATAAAATATAGTAAAATGGATAAATATCAAAGAGTAATTTTATGTGATGTAAGCAATCACATAAGCATACAAAACTACTAATAACTTTGCATGAAAATGCCTTACAAAAATTCCTAATTATAATTAAAAATTAAGTTGTTATATAAAATGATTTAAAAATATTGTTCTTGAAAATTTCTAATTGAACCAAGATCAATCTTTCTTCACCTTTATCTTTTTTCTGGGCAACTCTAGAGTAGCATCTTCATCATCTACGTCGATTGTAATAGCAGGCTGGGGTTGAATTTCTTGTGCTATTATATTGCCTTCGCCTCGTTCATCTTTTGTCTTTTCATCTAACTTCACCAGGAATTTGAAACTTTTGCCGATGTTCAAAACAAAATTTTGAAAATATGGACTCTGATTATTTTCTGTTGCAATGAGAACAAATGTTATATTAATACTTATGAATTTGTTTATTTTCTAATTTACTACTTGAATAGAGTTAGGAATTACCTCTTTCTTTTTTGTAATGAATTTTTCTGCTTTGCATCCAATAAGAGTTTCTGCTGCGTCAAAGAGTGTTACTCTTGCATTATCCGTGCCATTTTCCACGAGAATCTTAACTAAGTACCTGTATTTTTCATTATTACTTTTTAAAGATAATTAGTATTGTATTTTAATATGTTCATGGCATAAAAAATATATATTACTTAACATTGGTACTGGGTCATCAATGATTCCGCGGTATTTGTCATTCAGACACTCTTTACTAACATCTTTATCAACCTTCTTGTCACAGCCTTTGCAAGCATAGAACCATGGTTCGAGCCTATTTAAAATAGTAGTTATCTTTGCCTTAAATGTGCAATACCGTGGCTGTATATTAACAAAGTTTAGTTAGATTTAAATTTGTAGATAAGAATATATATATAATATTGTACCTGTATTGAATTCTGTGACGTATGCATAATATCACTAATATGAATTTCCTTGGCATTTTTAAAAAGTGTCGATGGAGATCCTTTTGCTTTTGCAGCTTCTTCCAAGTGAAACCTGCATATTAGATTAAAATATAATACTATTTCATTATTGGGTTATATGAAAGTATGCTTGTTTTGCTTACCATTCCCTTAATTCGCTAGCTAGTTCTATTTTTGGGTTGATACATAATAATGAAATAATTTGCAACGATATGCTTGTATCTCCTGCAAAAATGAGAAAATTATAGGATTAATTTTATGTTTAGCTATCTTTAATAAGAATTTCAGCAATAATTTATGTACCTTGATATATAGAGATTTTAAAATATGATAATCCTATTACAGGCCTATATTTGATTTCTGCTTCAAGAATTGAGCCTTCATTTGTAGCCAAATCTCCAAATAAAGTTGCACGCATTGGCATTCCACTGCATATGAAAAAAGGAAGAACGTTAATATTTTTTTCTCTTATGATATTAGAAATAAGTAACATGAATATACCTTATATCCATAAGCGTGATTTCTCTCCTAGTGTCTGGTTTGTTGTGTCTTGTAATATAGTTGATCGCCGGCTACACATTAGTTGTTATTGTAAGAATATTTGCAAGTGATTTGATAAAAAGATTATGATCCTGTAGATTAATGTTTCA